AACAAATAAATAAACCTTTAAAAACTGATAGGGATCTTAGAAGGCCTTTGAAATCATCAAATGCAACCTCCACATTTCTCAACAGTTAATCTTAGGTCAAGGGAATAATAATATAGTAATAGCTAATGTTATTGAACTATTATCTCTTGTAATCATTATAACAATCCTGTAACCTAAGTGACCCCCCAAATTTCTTTTTTTTTTTCGAGTTGGAGTCTCACTCTGTCACCCAGACTGGAGTGCAGTAGCTGCTCCCAGCCACTGCAGCCTCGACCTGCTGGGCTCTGGCGATCCTTCCACCTCAGCCTTCCAAGTAGCTGGAACTACAGGCGCGCGCTACCACATCCGGCTAGTTTTTGATTTACTGTAGAGATGAGGTCTCGCCGTGTTGCCCAGGCGGGTCTCAAACCCGCGGGCTCAGGCAATCCACTCACCTCAGCTTCCCAAAAGTGTGGGATTACAGGCTGAGCCACCGACCCCAGCTTGCCCCCAAAATTTCTTAGCAAGTAGTGGCATAACTGGCTTTAGGAACTGTTTTCTTTATAAATGTACTTCACATTTTAAACAATTTAGTTCTGTGCAAAAGAGAAGAAAAATTGGTATTTTCTATTGTTAAATTACATTATTTTCTTTAATAGTTAAATTAAAAAGAAATACTAATTATTAAAACAGTATATGTATTATTTACTATGCTAAGGTCACATTATTTTATATATTTTTTTAAGATTGGAAAATATGGTTTATTTAAAAAGTAAATTAGAGAGAGAGAAAGAGGAGATTCACCTCCCCAAGGTAGGGAAGGGGGCCAAAGCCAAGAAACATGGCGACAGCCATAGCTTAAAGAGCACCTGGCCACACGAGAGTCTGGTATGGCAACGGCTGCTGGTTGTTCATAGTTGAATCCTTTTAATCCTTCCCTTTGATGGGGGAAGGTCATTAAGGTGATTGGGTGGTAGTCTGCTCCACACCATCCTGAAGGGGCAGGTAAGGATAGGCACTGACAGCAGGCAGATGGGTGGGTTAGTCACATGATTGCTGCCATGGTGGTGGGAGTTCTGTAACTGCTTCCTGCTGAACAGGGATTGTAGCGCTGTCCCTACCAGTGAAGATGCAGTTTCACACCTGACAAGGCTGAGGCGACAGGGAACAGGGAGAGGTTCGTTCGATGCAGCTCGATAAGAGTGAGTAGCAGATAAAAGATAATCAAGTACCTTATCTCTCTCCACAGAGAGACAGAGAGACTAGGATTTGAAAAGAAAAGAGTGAGCGATAGAGTGGCAAATCTTGGTGGGAGAGGAGAATGAGAGAGTGAGAGTACGGCAAATCTCAGTGGGACCTCCAAAAATGTTAGGTCACATTCCCAGCAGGGCCTCCAGAATGTTAGATCAGGCCCACTGCGGATGTGGGTATCTCGTGTGGGATCCGGTGCCACTAGGCAGACGCAAAGAATTGCACAGAAGTTAGATTAGGAAATACAGTTTTTAAAAAAAAAAACGAAATTATAAAGAGAGAGAAAGAGGAGATTCACCTCCCCAAGGTAGGGGAGGGGGCCAAAGCTTACGAAAACATGACCTGACTATAGCTCAAGGAGCACACAGCCACACCTTAACTTAGCAAGTTATTGTTGTTTCTAAAGATTTCTTTCTTACTCCTAAAATTGCATGTTCACACATTGTTTTCATTTTTTAATAAGTACGATGAATGTCTGCTTACAGTGTTTTAAAACATAAACATACTTAATGTTCTTTTTTTTTGAGTTGGAGTCTCACTATGTCGCCTAAGCTGGAGTGCAGTGACACACTCTAGGCCACCGCAGCCTCAACCTGCTGGGCTTAGCTGATCCTTCCACCTCAGCCTTCCAAGTAGCTGGAACCACAGGTGTGTGCCACCACACCCGGCTAATTTTTTGATTTATTGTAGTGATGAGGTCTCACCAAGTTGTTCAGGCTGGTCTCGAACCTCTGGACTCAGGCAATCCTCTTGCCTTGGCCTCCCAAAGTGCTGGGATTACAGACTTGAGTCACCATGCCTGGCCCATACTTAATAATATTCTTCTTGGATTCAGTTCTGTAATCCTGAAATTCATTACATTTAATTTTTTTTTTTTTTTTTTTTTGAGTTGGAGTCTCACTCTGTCGCCCAGACTGGAGTGCAGTAGCCACTGCTGGCCACCGCAGCCTCCACCTGCTGGGCTCCGGTCATCCTTCCGCCTCAGCCTTCCAAGTAGCTGGAATTACAGGCATGCACTACCATACCCGGCTGATTTTTTTTTTTTTAATTTATTGTAGAAATGAGGTCTTGCTGCCCAGGCGGGTCTCGAATCCGCGGGCTCAGGCAGTCCACTCACCTCAGCCTCCCAAAGGCGGGATTACAGGCTGAGCCACCGAGCCCAGCTTAATTTTTTTAAAATTGGAATCTCACTCTGGCAGCCAGGCTGGAGTGCAGTGGCATGCTCACTGTCACTGCAGCCTCAGTCTGCTGGGCACAGGTGAACCTTCCACCTCAGCTTTCCAAGTAGCTGGAACTATAGGTGTGCCACCATGCATGGATAATTCTTTTTTTTTTAATTGTAGAGATGAGGTCTCGCCAAGTTGCCCAGGCTGGTGTCAAACCCTGGTCTCAGGCAGTCCTCTGGCATCCATCTCCCAAAATGCAGGGATTACAGACGTGAGCCACCACGTCCGACTACATTTAATATTCATAAAATTTTGAAACTACTTTATCAATCCTCTGATATAAAGAAAAGTATGTGTATGTGTGTATGTACATGCTTATAAACATGTGCATAGAATATAGCTATGTTGCTAAGATAGATATGAGTAATGTTTTGATGTTTTATTTATTATCAACATTTCACTAATTATTCTTACCTTTAAGCATCTGGGTAGCTGAAAGGAATTGTTTTGTTTTTGTCAGTGCAAAGATGAAAACAAAATTACTGTGTATATGTGATAAAGAGTATTTGAAGGATTTGAACTTTTATAAATAATTTGTGTTAGATTTTATATATCTTTACTGTACATTTTCTCTTCCTAATCTTAAGAACTGTGTCGGTCACTTGATTGTTATATGCTAAAATATTTGTAAATTACAAATTATTTCAAGGTTTGGGTTTTCCTAATATAACAATTTAATGTAAGCCAAATAGTTTGCCAGTGTTAGGTAATGCGTGTTGTGGCATCCATTCGTTGAGCATACATCTTGTGAAGGAAGAAAACACAGACATGGTTTCTGCCTTGATATTTCTAGCAGACAGTTTGACTTTCTTCTTTCTTTTTTAAATTTTTGATAGAGATGTGGGGTGATTTTCTTGATTTTTCAATCTGAGTACTTGTTCTTGTATACTGGGATTGGCCTACCTTGATCATATTTTTAAGGAAATATTTTGACAACTTATGATAATCAAAACCTAACTGAACCAATAATGTCCATCGTATTGATTGCTTTACCTTCAAATTATGAAATTCAGCCCTCAATTCTTGTTTAGTGAGCTGAGGGTTTTTTAATTTTGTGCTGTATTGTTTTGTTTTTATCAAAAAGTAATTTAAATAAAATATTCTCTAAACACATTAATTTTTTAACTATGGTAAAATATATATAACAGTTAACTATATTATTTTAAAATATAAAATTCAATTGCATTTACTGAACACATTCACATTATTGTGTAACTATCATCACTGTCTATTTCTAGAACTTTGTTATAATCGCAAACGGAAGCACTCTATAAGATCTTTAATTTCACGTGCTGGAGGAATACCGTTTACTTTCTTTTTGAGCCTAGTTTCACCCACCTTCCAGCAGTCCAAGGTTCAGTGTGATTTGCTTATAAGTCTTGAATGCTGAATTGTCACTTGAATTAGAATTGTTTCTTTGTTTGATTTTTACTTGTTTCTATTTTTCTTTCTTTCTTTCTGTTTTTTTTTTTTTGGAGTCAGGGTCTCACTCTGTCGCCCAGGCTGGAGTATAGTGGCACATCACAGCTCACCAAAGCCTCGACCTCCTGGGATAAGACTATCCTTCCACCTCAGCCTTCTGAGTAACTGGGACTACAGGCACATGCCACTACACCGAGCTAATTTTTTTTTTTTAATAGAGACAAGGTCTTGCTATGTTGCCTAAGCTGTTCTTGAACTCCTGGGCTCAAGTAATCCTCCTGCCTCAGTCTCCCAGACTATTGGGGTTACAGGTGTAAGACCCCACACCTGGCCGTGTACTTGTTTCATATTTCTAAGTATCTATGAAAATTTCACTGTCATTCATTTTACTGTAATTTTATATTTGCTTCTTTTGGAGCAATGAAATATATATACGTGCAACTAAAGAATGTAAACACATAGAAAGTCTTATTGAGCAGGAGAAGAAAGATTAGGGATTAAGGACTATGATATACAAAGTTGGGCAGTCTCAGATACAACGAGTTTCCTTCCCTCCTGCTAAATGCTTGGGGCAAGAAGCACACCCACTATAAAAGATACTTTTGGGCCTGTGATTGAAAGAATTCAATCCGTAGACACTGGATATGAACTGGACTCAACAGGAAGGATCGTTTGTAGATCCTCCCTCTGTATTATTCTTTGTGCTCAAGCAAAAATATAACTGTTTAAAGAGCTTTTAAAAATTATTTCTGAAAGAGTACAAAAACCCCATTCAGATGATATTCTTTTTCTTCTGCTAAAATGCGAAGTTTCCTTGACTGCTTCTCTTCCTCATTCATAACAATCATACAACGACTGTTGCACAGTAAAGAAATGGACAAATTATCAGAGAATCCCAGAAAATTATTTCCGCTTTTTATGGAACAAATAAGAATTTAAGACAATAAATATGAAAATCATTTGAATGCTAACTTTACATGTTAAGCAAGATAATTTTGTATTAGTTTAATTGTATATTAATATACTTTTTTTGGTATAAACACAAGTATAATTTTTCACCTGCATTTATTATTCTTCATTTTTTTGAAAAGTAATACTCCTAATGAATTGTATTTGTTACAGCTAAAAGATGGTGGTAAGGCATCCCAGGCAAATGTGAGAATAGGCGATGTGGTTCTCAGCATTGATGGAATAAGTGCACATGGAATGACTCACCTGGAAGCCCAGAACAAGATTAAGGGTTGCACAGGCTCTTTGAATATGACTCTGCAAAGGTAAGTTGCTTTTTGTTTGGCTGTGACAGAGGAAACAGCATTGAGAAATATGTTTTCGTGTGCCTGATTCGTGGTATTAACTAAGAAGCAGATTCTACTACCATTATTTCAGGTAAATAAATAAAAATATACTGGCTCTTAAATTGGCTAGTTGAGCAGCTTGAGAATTGTTGAAAGCTGTGAATTATTTCCCCATCAAAAGCCACATATTTACAAACTCGTAAAGAATTGTATATCCAGTTTTAGATAATTCAGGAATTCTTTTTTTGTTTTGTTTTGTTTTTTTTTTGTTTTTTGAGTTGGAGTCTCACTCTGTTGCCCAGACTGGAGTGCAGTGGCCGGGAGCGGCC